GACCCATCTCATCCATAAACAGCTTTGCTAAAATTTTTCAATACTGTCTAAAAGAGAAACTGTTGAATTCTTTTGATGGAAACTGTGTGATTATGGGAAAACAATTTGGCTTCAGGAGAAACAGAGGCACAGAAAATGCAGTACTAGAGCTCACAAACGATGCAATGAAGAATTTAGATCTTTCAAAAAAATGTTTAGTTGTCTTTCTCGATTTAGCCAAAGCTTTCGACACTGTATCGCATCATATACTGCTTAACAAGTTATCAGACAAAGGAATGAGAGGTCCAGTACTAGATTTATTTACCAGTTAATTGAATGGAAGGACTCAAAGAGTAAAAATAGAAAATGTATCAAGCAAACCCTCAATAGTTACCACAGGTGTTCCTCAGGGTACAATACTGGGTCCATTACTTTCTCTCATTTATATAAACGACATTTGCAAAATAAAAAATCTCCAGCGGAAAATAATATCATTAAATATTGATAAAACCAAATTCGTGTCTTACTGGGAAACATCGATGTCCGCCATTGAGGATGACACTGTTCCATGTAGGTAAAGTTTTACCTCTTTCATATACTGTATTGTTCAACAATAAACAGGATTTAACAATCCTGTGAATATCTAATTCAATGGCAACTCTTTTGATAGAAACTGGAGCCTGTAGAAGTGCCATGGTGCATGGAAGTGTACTTCGGTTGCTGAAAGATATATTTTTTGCGGATGCTGGCAGACATCTTATGAACCCATCTGATATCTTATAGAAACACTCAGACAGTGGAACATCATAAATATTACACGATATTTGGAGATTTGTCACTTTTATGTGAATTTGACCGAATAATGTTAATTAGATATTCAAATGAGCAATAAAATAAATAATGGATATCCCACATGTGCTCAATGGGATTCATGTCTGGTGAATTTGCTGGCCACGGTAATCTTTGAATATTCTCAATCTCTAGTGCATTTTGTACTTTTCATTTCGGAGAGGATAAATAATGAGTTCAATAATGTTTCGAACAAATCTATCCCCTGTCATAGTATCTGGAATGGGAATAAGCTGCATACGACGACCATGCATTATGCCTCCCCAAAACAATACTGATCCTCCTTGGTATGAAACGACTTTTCTCGTCGCCCTGGCTCTCTCAAAACTCTCTCAAACCAAATCTGGTTTCGTCCGAAAAAAATACATTTCGCCGGGTATCTTTGAAACAAAAGGTCTTTCAAAAATCATCAGGGGGTAAAATATTATTCGAATAGTCCGGAAAATAACGCCTTGAATTTCTGCTAAGTGCTCAGCACCCTATTGAAAGAAATCAATAAACATGTACCTTTTTAACACCAAAAGCAACGTCAATGACGAGATATAAAACATTTTTTTGTAGTGTACCCTGATAAGTATATTTGCTGTTTTACTAGGATCACGTTCAAGATGTGAACGACTGATATGAGAAGATTTGTACAGAAGCCGTTTATCTTGAAGACAGAGAGGAAAAGATGACAAGAATATTTTTATCGAATTCTCTAGTTTGGTGCGAATTTAGACAAACTTCAATTTAATGATTTTCGTATGCAACTGACTTGAACTTGAAAATAAATAGAAACCAAATCTGCATCTATTCCGATGAATATTTTCATACAGTAACTCCTTGAGAAATCTGACACAAAGCACTTAATCGTATTTTTGAAACAAATGTAGTATCCACCACAGTATTGGCAAAAATTATTCGAAAAATTTATTGAGATCCTCAAAATATATACAAACATTCAGCGAAAAATATTGAGTATCGAAGACCCTGTTTTGTTACAAAGATGTTTTGAAAATGTAGTTTGTTCACTATCAAATGAAGATTCAACCACTTTTTCATCGAATACTGGGTAAATTGAAATTGAAAACTTTTTTACTGAAGAGGTTGAGTTTTAAAACTGAACCCCTTCAGTAAAAACTTCTAAAATGAAATTTCAGACTGAAATACATCGGAGAAGAAAGTATTAAGTAAGTGGCAAACATGTTTTCTAGTTTTCATTTAGGTACTCTGTATTGGAAAAAAGTTTTTGATCAAATTACCATTTTATAGTTACCTGTTATATACATATTTGGAACGTCTTCATAACAAAACAGACTTTTCATGTTAGTTTTTAACTGAAATGGGGACAAATCCATAGATTGATTTTTTGACGTTATTTTTGGAATAACTTCTGATCGTCCAAATGTCCAAAATGTCATTTTATTAAAGAAAAACCTAACTTGGATACGCCACGTTTCTTCTGGGTACCCTGTATATTGGAGAATATTTCAGAAAATCCGAATATCAATATCTAAAAAGTTTATTTGTAACATTTTTTAATAAGTTCATTACAAACTTATACTGGACGCTTATTGTGATACATACTGTATGGTGTAATGATGATTACTTGATAACGACCTTCACAATTTACCAGAAGAAAACTTTATTGGTTTTCCAATAATCTGACTATTATCTGGATATGTTCCATCAACATTTCAACACAAAATGTTTTTTGTTGAAATCTGTCAGACATATAAAAAGAGTTACAATGTAAAAATTGAGAATTGATACCGAATTATCAACTTGGCATTACAAAACATCATTATATAGGTCAAGTTTTCATCTAAACAGTTCCAAAAATTAAAAAAAAATCCAATCAGTCTTCTTCTTGTCCCATTTGGATTTTTTTAAACAAAACCTTTCCAAATTTGGTGAAAATTATACAAAGATTCATGTGGAACGGTAATTCCAGTCAAAACCTCCTTAAAAATGAGTCAAGGAATCGTACATTTTTGATAGCAAGTCGTAAAACAATCGAATCGGTTCGTTGAACTCGACAAGACCAAATTTAGGCTAATAGTAATCACTATTGTTAGGTAAACGGATTCACATCGTTCGCTATGGAAATAAAGACAAGAAAACGTACAAAAAACTTAAAAAAAAACACATAAAGTAGCAAGGATAGAAATGTCTATTATCTAATACTGCCAGTTGAAAATTTGGTATCAAATATGTCATGGAACTCGATTTATTTTTTTAAATCGGTGCAGTTAGGCCTCGAATTAGACTGGTTACTATACAGTTTATTTGAAAAGTTGTCAACTCAAATAGAATTAAGATGATACTTATCCTGTATTTTGAATGTCTATTATCATTTGAGACTCAATTTATCCAATAACACTTTCTCTTAGATTCGATTCCATATAAAATTCAGTGAAAGGCCAATAAGCATTGTATTCCTTGCAATATATGAAATATATATATTCATCATTGAAATATGATGTCTTGTTTCATTAAATTTAAAATAACATTGCCCCTTGATCAAATACGTTTTATCTAGGTTGTAAGTAACCCATTTGAGAATCTTTATGTATTAAAAAAAATTGTGTTTATCCCCGGAATACATATACTTAGTACTAACAATTTCATTACAGTTATGTGTTATATTCTAATATATATTGGCAATCAATACCACCTACACAAACCAATGAAAAAAGTTTGGAATCTTGCATCAATGTCTGTCGAATATAATTCAATATCCAGCGTGGTATTAGCCGGGGAAGTAGTGTTTTTTCGATAGACGTTTACCTTATTTACCTATTTACCAGAGCCTACACAGTAGGGTCTGGTAAATAATACAATAACAGTTCATTGTATAAGTTTGAAAATGTCCGTATAAGACGAAACTGCAGTAACGTTAGTTACAAATAAAAGTGGTAAAAAACATAGAAAGTATCATTTCTCTTTTCTTCTTTATGATTTCCTACCACGTAGTAACGGCTACATCCATCAATTTCTTAAAAAGAGGAATGTTTTCAGTATCAGAAACAAATTGTATAGACCAACCATAATCATAGCTGCAGTAATTTTTCCCGTCCATTTTTGGAATACTTCAGAAAATCTAGGGATTCTGGAGTTTTAGATTGTAAATCTGGAAAGTGTACTAAGTGTGTAACTGAATTATCATTTGCCTCTGAAAATGAGGACTGCGATTTCAAATGAACATCATCTGTTGTCCTTTCTCGGATTTATTATTCATTCAACGATCTTTTCTTGGAAACCAAAAGAAAACTCAAGTCAAAAAATCTAGTTTCAGGGAAAAATTGGAAAATGGTCCTCATTAGTAACTATGATGGTTTTTCCATTCATTGAAGCTTTTCCATTTCGAGATTTTGAAAATAGGTAGGTAAGTTTTTCAAGGCCTAGGGACGAATATTGTCAGTTTTCTAAACAAATGAATGGCCAATATAACCTTAGCTGACATTCATTCATTCATCAATTTCTTGGAAAATTTTGGAAAAACTTGTTCATCTTGGTTCACTCATTCTTGTGAACCAAAAAAGTAAAAAACTATAATTCAGTTAATTTAGTTTTAAAGGGACGGTCCTCAATAATAATTGTGATTGCTTTTCAGTTTTCTCAACTTCCTCATTAATAAACCAAGAAGGAATTAATTAACTTCTGGAAGGCAAAACTTTTGGGAGAAATGCTTCCATTTCCGTGACATAAAGTCATCGCCAAAAATATGTTGTCGGTGTTTTGGGCATGCCCATTGTTTGATATGGAAGAAAGCGGGAATGACGAACCCCAAGTTTGCCCCAGATAATTTCTGCTATCGATTCCTGCTGAAAAATATCTTGAAACAACACCTACCTTTGAGATTTGACAGCCGGTCTTATCATAGCTGGCCTCTTTTCGTCCTTATTCGGGAGCCGTAAATAGTCTTGGTCTCCCAACAGAAAAAGATCTTTTGATATAATCATGACAAAATATTTGCGACACTTTCACAAGTTTTCTTCCTCGGTAGTTCACTCACACAAAAATGTCAGAGAGTCATAGTAAAAGAAAACTGTCCTCGAATTAAACAATGGACATGTGACAGTCCAGGATGTGTTGACAATTCGTGAGAAACACGTGTTCTGACAGAAAAAATATCCCGACGCGGTCCACACCGAACAAACAGCGTTGTCTAACTAGCGATCGCAAACTTAGGCTGGTATCGAAGTTGGCACTTGTCGCCCGCCCTCGCTGTTCTCTCTCTTTCTCGCGCGTTCCGCGGTCTTTTCCTCTCTGTTGCGCCCTCTCTCTCGCGCTCTGTCACTGGAATATTTTCCCCACATCGCTGAATGAGAGGCTATAGCGGATTACCTGATATCCTCATTCTATGACAAATAAGATTTTTTTGCCTGGGAGCGAAGGAATCGCACCGAAGTTTTTTTGATGTTGTTTGAATTGGCGTTTCCTCTAGCTTAGCTATTATTTTTTCTGCAAGGCAGTCACTTGGCAATGGAGTTTTTTTGTTTGGACGCGATGATAGTATTTGCATTATTGTTTCATTCAAATAAGTTGAGTAATCCTGCTGGAACGCATAGTTTGTTCCTTGGTTTTCCAAATTTCCAATAATTGGTGGTAGTTGAAACTACACTGGCGGCTCATGAAATTATCTAAAACTAAGTTTTCAGTGACCGAGCTTTCTTTCTCCTCAAACATAGCACTTGAAATATTTTTAAAAGAAACATCAGCTTCCGTAAATGTATCAGCCGATAGAATTTTTTTTTAATTTGGACTCAATACTTTGTTTACTAATAATAAAAGTAATGATGCTCATTATCAATGCAAAACGCTAACAAATTACTTCAACAAAATTTTTTGATTTCGTTATGATTTACCACAGCTTGTATAGACGGGTTTATGAAACTTTACCGGCTTCACCCAATTTTTGTATCGCAAACGGGTCGCAAACAAAATATTTTATTAGCTTTTGGGTCGTTTGATTACCTGCAGTGGCGTGCCTTTGGGTATGTTTATTTATTTATGTACAAAGAATATTGTTGAAACATTTCAATTTAAAAAAAACATAATAATAAATAGGTTTGAATCTTGCGTTGACACGGTCGCGGCTTCCCATCTAGCCGAATGTTCGAAGACTGCTGGAACCGCAGCATTGTCTGGCGAAAAATTGAAACAAAAATAATACCAAAATCAGTAGCCGTTGAAACTTTTGGTGTTTATGGCTCGGAGTCTCTGTTATTCGTTCATGAACTCGGAAGGAAAATAGGCCAAACAACGAAAGATCATCGTTCTACCTCTTTTAGATAGAAAGAATTAGTATTGCTATTCAATATGGTAATGTAGCTTAGGTTCTTGGAACTATATGCCTCCTTCACATTATTTTGATGAGATCATGCATTGCCCTTATTTCAAAACAATAGCAGAATCAATTCTCCTGACCGCTCTGGATTGAATGATTCCTCACAGTCTATTTCATCTTGTATTTGTAAATCTTTGGCTAGAAAAATCCTCACCTGTTTACTTTGTAGTAAATGTTCAAGAGGTAGAAAAACTTATTTCTGGAACTTCAACTAGCGTTTCCTAATATGACCAATAACCAAGATGTGCAAAGCTTATTGTTAAATCATCAGAAAATGGAAATTTTAACAGGTGATGATCGACTGTATTCCATGCGCCAATCTAAATGACTGTACCTATAGCTGAGGCACCACTCAATCTAATAATATCACTGATGATCTTCAAACATAACTCAACCTCTAACGGAAGCACCAAACTCTTATAAAGGTTCGAAATACATGAACACTTCAATTTAGCAGACCACTATTATAATCTTCATGCAGTAATTGTTTACTGTGGTTCTGGTCATTATTACACCTTGGTCAAAGACGAAACGGACTGGTTTGGGTTTGACGATAGTCGTGTCACGAAGTGTTCTGACGATGTGAATTTATTGGAGCCTCCGGAGACACCCTACATTTTATTTTATGAAAGAGAGGATATTGGCAGGACCGACACTAAATTAGAAACATCTGTATATCGAAAACTCACTCACACAGGACAGTATCTGAACCAGAAATCCAACCACCATCAATCGACTAAGAGAGGAATCATCAAGACTCTACTAGATCGTGCCTTCGGGCTCTATAATACAAAGGAAGGTCTCGAAAGGGAATTAGGCATCATCAAAATCGACCTAACAATGGTTACTCCAGAGTGATTGTAGAACAGGCTTTAGCTAGAAGACAGCAAGAGCTCCACAAAGAAGAGAAGCCTCCACAACCAGTACTTGTATGTTTGGACTCATCAACATAATATCAAATGGGCTCAAGCTGAAATCATCCACAAAGAGGAACACTGGTTTAGGAGAAAATTCAAGGAAGCCGCGTATATGTTGTCCAACAACGCATTTAGTCAAGCTAGCGTAGAGATACGTCACATATGAAAACCTCTAATCAAACAAAAAACGACCAACTCCCGCCAAACGGTCATCTCCCGCTAAAACCAATGAAGCGGAGAGAGAGAAGAGGAGATAGGTGAAAGCACTTGAATGGCCTATAAATAGTCGTATCTCGGAGGAATAAGTCCAGTTATCACCCCAAGACGATTGTGGGTACAATTTTTTCAGGAATTTCAAATCAATTCATTTCATATTAGACAATGGAAGTCCTAACTGATGAAATACACCGCGAAACATTGTCAACCACCTTCAAACAATAAAATAATGTAATATAATACAAAAAGCGTGATAAATATACTTTTTTCAAATGAAGAAATACATGTAAAGTGAGTTCGAATTATATCAAGGAGGTTACGTACAGCGCCATCTGCCCGCGAATAGACCAAGCAATAATGTCGATAATTCTGGAGTTACAAACAAACATACCTACATATGCTAATAAAAAATCGTGATAAAATTAAACAACAACATTGAATTTTCAAAAGTAATACTACATTTTTCACTCTTTAACTGACTCAATCATGTATGGCTATGGAATAGTCACTTTAAAATGATTCATTACTCCGCTGCTTGAAGAAATCGACTGTAGCAGGGATTCACCTGTCAAAAAAAAATATTTTGTTGGTATTACGATACACAGTATTTTTTTCATTAGGTGCATATTCGGGATGTCTACTATTACACCAAATTCTATTGGTAAGTTTTCGTCATCAGAGCCAACTTTCATTATTTTTCACTGTCATAAATTGAAAAAAAAATAGACTCGCACACACTTCTAGATTCACGTAGTTTTGAATTGGTTAACAATCAAAATTACTCAATAAAAAAGTTATAAGGCAAAAGAATTTGAAAAATATGCTCTTCAACTGTCCCCTCGATTCAATTTTAGAACTTTCATCAAAATTCTGACGACTCTACTGAATTCAACAAGTTTTGAATCATAAATATCCAAAACTTAATCAGAATCTGTTCCTTTTTGAAAAAGTTATAGTTATAATGGTGCTAATTTATCAATAAACAACATATTTTTCCAAATTTCTTCACTAAGAAACTTTTTGATGATGAAAACCTATCAGTTAACCAAATTTTGCTGAATCCAGTAGAGGAGTCAGGATATTGGTGAAAGTTCTAAAACTGAAATGCTTGGTGTAATAATTAAATCGCATATTGAAAACGGGTGGATTTTCGCAAAACGTTCCTAACCAATCGCCATACAAGGAAAACGGAATGAGATAAATTTTAATTTCATAAAAAGTGATGTCTATTTGTGTAGGTGATAAATTCGTGTACGACAAAAAACGAAAATTGATTTGATTAGTTGGCTTATGGGGCGGTAAACCATAGCCAAGAAATAAACTTAACTCTAAAGAATTTACGGTTATTGTCATATGAATCTATTTACTGGTCCATGAATCAACGAATTCATACGGTAATAAGACGAAATAAATTACCCGTTTCAATATAAAAAACTAGTTTCATGAAAGGCGTACAGGAATTTATCGCAATTGCATTTGCACATTTGTCCTTTTTTCTTGTCCTATTTTTTGAACACGGAGTTTAGTAAGGAAAGTTTCGCAAGAATCTTCGCACAAATAACTTGGGTTATTGAAAGGAAGGATAAGGAAAGAAAAAGAACCAGGAGAAGGTTGGAATTTACCAACATGCATAACTTGGAGATCCCATACTTTGAAATTATGAGTTGGTTGAAAACTTTAAAAAAGTATAATTTCTCCCAAGTATTTTGTCATAAAAACTGAAAAAAAGATAAAAAATATATCCAAGACGACAAAATAGGGAAAACAGATATTTCGAATATTCCACTAATTTGAGACTCTCTACAGGTCTTTTTAATAGATTTCAACTTAGTTCTACTTCCAAATATTCAGTTTTCATAGACAAAAAAATTAGACATTTATAATACATTCTGTTAACATTGTTTTTAACAAACTTACAAGCAATAACCCAAGCAAATACGCCTAGTCCAACATCCATAAATGCAAATGCAACACCACATTTTGATTTCGTTTCAGTGGAGAAAGGAATATGAAGATAATACGGCATGTAATCGTAACAAGTTTTGTTTGTTCCAATAAAAGTGTCTCCTTTCACTTCCTTGTTAATAGTTATGATAGATGATATATGAGCGGATACTCCCACAAAAGTGTACAAAACGAATACCTGAAATATATTTATTGAGAGAAGGTACATTTCACAGTTCTAAAANTATCACTAAATGTAGTGGAGGGTAATTGCTAAATTTGATGGCAAACTAAAAAATGAACTGTCCCGAAACATAATCAGTCCGAAATGGAGACCTTGCTAAATCATATAAAGAAGAAATATCATACCAGTTCAGTAACCAGAAACCCAATTCGAATCATGCACATGGTTCATGTAACATATTGCGATCCTGCCAAAGTTATGATTGATACAATTGAAAGAGTAAACAAAAAACTTTGAATGGATATCTACTTACTGCTTTTTATTCTCTTATGCATTTTGAGTATCAAATATACTTTTCTGGAGATAGAGAAGATATATTTCATAGGACTCGAAAATCAGAAGTTAATTTTGTATTGAGTGTCTATAGAGCCATTTTATAATGTTGGAAATCATACTCAAATGAGATACGCCGATCTTTGAGAGAGCTTCAGCAATCTATCAGAATGAAATTGTCGACTTGTGTAGGTGGGTGAAGCTGATATTGAAAAGTTTAATCAGCCTATAAAGGGACGCCATATGTTCACAGAAGAAAGTTTCTTTTAAATACGAAGCATCATGTACCATCCACTTGGAGTTTTGTCAAAACTACCACATTATTGTGTCGAAGCTCTTTACCAAGTTTGTTTACCATGCTCTGCAGGACGAATTGTTCTACAGAACAGATACTACAGAGCAATTGGTGGTAGATTTGGACGTGGTGGAGCTGATATTACAGCACTTGAATGCAGGTAGCCAGATTTCATTGGAGATGTTTCGGTTTTCTGAATTTCTATCAACTTCTTATATAGTCTTGGATAGTTACTCTGAGTACTGTAGATGATATGGAATCACTTTCTGGGGTGCATGTACTGTGTCAACATTGCCATCAATTTAAGTTATACGTAAAAAGCTGTACGGTTTCTGAGTAAAGCAAAACCACGAGATTCTTGCAGACCATTGCTTATGGGAAAGAAAATCCTCACTGTAATATCGATTTTTATTATTGAAACTATATGTCTCATAGTGAAACATTAAAATCGGTTTTCAATAATCGCAAACTTCACTCCAAAAACAATTTCAACTTGCCCATTTCAAAATATTCCTATATTGAAGACTTTCATTTATAGTGGGTTGGAAATATTCAATCACCTTTCATCGTATCTAAAGGGCGCATGCCGAAACAGGAACTTCAGGGAAGTTTGGAAGGATTATTTTTGTGAGAGAGCCTATTATAATTCATCAAAGTACTATCAAGATACTTTCAAATTCGACTTGTGTCTGACTCTCAATATATTTCATGTTCTCGATATTGGAAATTTAAAAAAATATATACTTACTGGCTGTTTTCGTAAAAGTGGTGTACTGGGCTATGTACATACAAATTAAAGTTAATTAATATAGTTTATTGTACGATTTTCACGTGTTGCGGTTTATGTAAAATCATTCATAGTAAAAATCATTCAATAAACTGCAATAATTAGTTTTAATATGGATTTTCAAGTATCGGCCAGTTCCATTCAATTATTAAATACAAATTGTTTTTGTTGTCATTTTTTGCCCTTTTGTTGTTATATGTGCTTATGTTCAATAATTACTTGAAATTTTATACAGGAAACTCCCAATGTATATTATTTTATAGTGTAGTTCTTTGAGAACATTACTCAAATAGTAATTACCTGACTGAGTCGTGGTACCTAATATGTATACTTTTGTTTTTTAATTATTTTAACCAAGCTTCGTCAATAAGATATGAATCTTCAGACAATGAAGCATATTTTGACTTTGACTTGAGTCTGTTCAAACGCAATAAAGTAAGTACATGTGACAATTTCTCTTGCGTTGAGAGTGGCGGATACTAACACTTCCCTTCGTGGTTTCAATGTAGATTTATACACAGCTACAAGGGGCCCGGTTAACCCCCGATGTTACTGAAGGGTCTTTGGGATCTTTAGCTGACACTCTCTGACGGTTTTTGGCCATGAATATTTACATTCTAGACTATTGCCCTACTCATGAAATCTGATGAATCGAGGCAAAGTTTTTTGAGTATGATATGGTATCCCTACTGAAGTCTCGAAACTTCCATAAAATTTTGATATTAGATGGCTCATAGAACCGAAATGTACCATGAAAATAGAAGAACTACAATGCAATTATGTGGAGTGATCAAAAAATGATAAAATAAAACTCCATTCTTCCTTATATACCACCAGAAATTGAAGCGTAACTGGGATTTAGATGTTACGTTAAAGTGACCCTCATTGGTTCGAAAGTTTGAGTATCATCCAACAAAACAAATTGAAATGATTGGTATCAGTTAAGAGGGGAATATCATGTAATGAAATGGTGAAATACAATCTTGCAGAATATTTTTTGTAATTTAAGACTGAGAGAAAAACAGTGACATCAAAGAATTAAATGCAAAAAATGTGTTAGAATCTTAGCTTACGCAAAGTATAATGACCACTACAAACCTCCATATAAATTTTAGAATTATGACATTCGTTTGTTGTTCATGCTATATGGAAAAATTGATTGACAATCTCGCAAAGAGACATACATGACTTATAGTAGGGGAGCCCAAGAGGGGAGGATACCTTTCATCCTGTTGAAACCCACCACCATATATGAACCCTCCATTGAGAGCCGGGCAAGTAGGGCAGCCCGTACTAATAATTAATACGCTTACTTGTCACTGCAAATTTTGGATATCAGGGATGTTCTCCCGCCAAAAGACCACGAGCGAAGTCGAGACAAGAGAAAACCTTCTTTCGTCAAGAGAAATGGCATTCTTGCCAAGAAGAGAGAGAAATTATCTCTCGGCTTGTTGAGATAAGGCAACACAAGAGGTGAATCTGATTTTTTCAGGTGTCTAATATAGCTTGATACTTTCAACAGACCATTTGGAATCAATCTATAGGTCGTCGAAATTATTCAATCAGGCTATTACCACTGAGCTATGAGGATGGTTGGTTCTTAATAGATTAGAAGGTGAATTCAAGGTGACATAAAAATCCCTTCAAGTTATTATGGAATTCCAGAAATGATTAGGACTTATTTTCCGAACTAATTACCAAGTTGTAGCTATGTCTTCGACGTGCTTTGCCAATACTCGTATATGCTGAAGAATTATCATTTAAAAAGGTGATGTGAAAGTTATGCTTTTTTGTTGTTGAGAAAATTTCCAGTAGACACCTTCATTGATTTTGAGGTTTCTACATAAATTCTTTCCTATGCAGTTTTTTTACTGCTTAACGTTTTGGGGGTCACACGTTGGAAGGTAAGCTGAATTGACGCTCAACTCCCACAAGATTCGATCCTTGAAGGTTGTTGTTCGAATTGAGATGACATCAGCCGACTAACGGAAAATCCTATTCTGACCCATTGGTTTTTCTTCATTACATTTCATTACATTGCATTTCAATCATTACATTGGAGATGGGGTTGAAATTTCAGAAGATTTTATGAAATAGAAAATACTTACCAGAATGGAGAAACCAGAGCTCATTAATTTTTCCTTAACAACCCATGAACCTGGTTGTGAATCACCCAAAGGAGGATAAAAATAGTTTTCATCCTGCAAAACATTCATAATTCTCTGAATTTTTTTTCTTCCGAAAATCAAAATGGACATTTTCAGTATTCCCACTACATGCGTGAACAACATTCCAATATGACTGACAAATTTACTGATTCCTTTTACTGTCTCATGAAAAATCAGGAATTCGCAAATGAAGAGGGCCAGTCCTGTTCCGTATAGAAAAGAAACGTACAGAAAATATAACACCCGCAGGATGAAACGATGTTTATTTCCTGGTAGCCAAATACCAGAAATTTTTCTGATCACTTCATTTGTATAGAAAAAATTACTTGGGTAACCTAGATGGTTCTCTGTTGTGGCCATTTCTGATGTAGAATCTCATATGTGAATGACAGATACTTTAAGACAGGATTTCTATTGGTGACGTGCAGACGATCATAACGTGAATATTTTACCTCCTCCAGGTATTGATTCATTTGATATCCCACATACTTCTATCCAAAAAGTAACATAACAGAGGCGTAACGGTATATCACTGAATGAGAATGTTAACATTTAGTGGATGTATCAGTATTTGAATGAAGATGAATTGTTTTAATCAAATACTAAAATACTCCTTCAGAATAACAAAGAATATATAGCTTTTCACATTCAGGGCAGCAGAAGTATAATTTGATAATGATTTATTTAATCAGTTCGGACTTCCATTGTCTAATATAATATAAATAGATTTGAAATTCCTGAAAAAATAAAAAGATTAAATGAAAATAACAATTTTATTAAACGAAAAACTGAAATTACAATCGATCCTATTGGCAGTCCCTCATCTTGCGAAAAAAATTCGTCCTTCAGTTGGAAGTAGCAATTTCGTACACAGCATCCTAGTAATTCCATAATTACTTGTATCGGTAAGTTTGTTCTATCTTTCAGGTCCCCATCTTCGGATAGCTTCTTCTGTATGATTTGAAGTGTTTTTTCGACAGGAACGTTGGTGTAGAGGCTTTCCACGTCGAAACTGATCAGTTGATCCTGCTCTAAGACTTCGATTTCCCCTAGTAGCTCAACTAAATGTCTTGAATTTTTCACAAAAGATGATGTTTCACCTTGCAATGGTGTAATTATTGGTAGTAAAAACCTGGATGAGTTCTGAGTGGCTGAATCTCTGGAGGTCATGATCGGTCTGAGCGGAACATCCTTTTTGTGGATTTTGGGTAGTCCATACAAGTGAGGGGGCTTACTGTGGTGCGGTGTTAGCGATGATTTCTCTTTTTCCGAAAAATAGACTTGGTATTTTTTCAAGGTCTGGTACAACTTCCTTTCAATTGATGCACTAGGGTCTCTTACGATTTACCTGTATTTTCCTTTCTGAAGCACCTCTTCGATCTTCTGTTCGTAGAGATCAGTATCCATCACAACAGATATTGATAAGATATTGATGGTGTTGTTTCTACGTAGCCCGTTCAGGGCTCTCCGTTCTTCATTGCTGACGTTAGAAGTTGGAACTGGTTCCAAGCTAGCGTAGAGATACGTAACATATGGAAACCTGTAATCAAGCGAAAAACGACCAACTCCCGCCAAACGGTCACCTCCCGCTAAAACCAACGAAGCGGAAAGAGGAAAGAGGGGATGGGTGAAAGCACTCGAATGACCTATAGTCAGATCTCGGAGGAATAAGTCCAGTTATCACCCCAAGACGATTGTGGGTACAATTTTTTCAGGAATTTCAAATCAATTTATTTCATATCAGATAATGGAAGACCGAACTGATGAAATACACCACGAAATAATGTCAACCACCTTCAAACAAAAACTGATAATGATTGTGTTAATGAACGCACTGTTCAACGTTGGTTCGCGAAATTTTGTTAAAGAAATTTCAGTTTCGAAGATGAGCCCCGAAGTGGTCGACCTTCAGTAATCCAGGACGAGGATTTGAGGACCTTGGTGAAAACTGACCCATTACAGAGGGTGGGATGGCGGAAGAACTGGACGTCAGCTCCCATGTGGTTTTCAATTGTTTAAAACGTATTGGAAAGGTCAAAGAGAACAAAAAGTGGGTGCCCCACGATTTGAAAGATTGACAGAAATTGTCAGGTTTCGATGTTTGTTGTTCTTTGCTTTTACGCAACCAGGACGATCCTTTTTTGGATCGGATCGCCAAGTGTGATCAAAAGTGGATACTCTATGATAACAGGCGACGTTCAGTACAGTGGTTGGATACTGATGAACCACTAAGGCACTCCCCACCGAAAACACCGTGGTTAAGATATGTTGGTTAGCGGCTGGTGTGATTTACTATAACTTTCTGCAACCGGACCAAATCATCACAGCACAGTAATATTGTGTTGACTGACCCATCACAAATGGTATAGTAAATGATATAGTGCAAACTACCTTCTAACAGCTCCCCTTTAATAATATAGTTAGGGGGCTAACTAATTTCGTTATTCGATAATCATTTCTGATTATATAAGAATCATAATAACTATAATAAATTCATTTCCACCATTAATATAGAAGTGTCCAATCTCCATATAGTCTTTTTCAACTAAAATTACTTTTCTTATCTTTTTCTGCCAGTCTTCTTCGGTGATATTAAATCCTTTTTTTTAATTACCTCTATTACCTTCTTTCTAAATTCTGAAAAATTATTTTTACGCCTGATGATTTCCCCAAATCAACTCGATGGGATTGAAAACACAAAAATAGGGGGAAGTTTCAGTATGGTATGTCCATTCTTTTCAGAAATACTCTCAAGGGCATCCACTTTTTCAAATGTTTTTGTCTGTAAAGCATTGTCAAGAACTATTACACTATTCGCATCCAAATTTGGGATCAATGTGTTTTCAAACCATTTCTCGAAAATATTAGCTTACATGTTCTTATGATAGTCAACATTGCAGTCCTCAAGTTTTTTCCACATAATTTCAAAGAATTCGGAACCCATCCTTCACTTTCTCCGCAATACACAATGATTAGTCGCGATCCTTTGTTTGCAGACATGTTAGGCGTACACATTCTCGAACCATCAGTCCACCCTTTCGTAACTATGTCGTGTCATACCAAGTTTCGTCCAAATAGAAATGTTGCCGTTGTTCTTGTCTATATTCAGTTATTTGTTCTAAGTATTTATCACGTAATATCACTACTCTTCTTCTCTCCATAACAGCTTGACGATTTTTTATCATTTTAAATCTAAATTCTAGTTTCTTTGTCCAATTCTGAAGAGTTTTGTCACAGCAGCTCACGTTATGGCCGGATGTATTCTATTTCTTCCTTATGATTTCAGTTGTATGAATCTCATTGCTTTTGTAACAGTCGTTACAAAAGCAATGAGATGAGAATTAGATGAACACCTAAAGGTTAATGTAATCCTCTATCACATTGCGTCTTGTGTTCATAAGGCTTGTTTTTGACTATTTCACGTACAGTTGAGAAAGGAATTTCGGTCAAATCTGATGTTTCTTGTAATAGTTTGTTTCCCTCGAAACCAAACTTGAGATGTAGATTCTTATATACATTGAAATATACTCTCTGTGTTTCAATATTCAAATGCATCCGAATGTTATTCACTGGTATCTCTTTTTCGCATTGTTCACCTGCACTATTGGAATAGCAGGAAAAAGTCTGCGTTGTTATCACACTCGTTATTATTATTAGTACTTGTCCAAGGATGCCACATTTCAAACAAATAACAAAAATTTTGAGTAATTATAACTTCACCAATATCGAATGTCAACACTCAAATCGCGATCAGTTCCTGAACTGAACATTGCCAACACGACGGCTCGCATCCTATTCGTCACCGTAACATGACTTCAAATTTCATTTTATTATCCTTCAGCCAATCACAAAACTTGGTCAGTAAAAATCATTCAATACGAACCGCCAATTCTTCAGTCCACGTGAATTAGTTGGCAGCGGCTTTATTTCTCTGTATTGGCTTTTTGGCCTTTGAGAGCGCCAACATTTTAAGTGTGCACAATACCGGTTACTTCTGCTATACGTGGAATGGCGGAAGAAATGAGCGTCCCTCCCATGCGGTTTGTGACGGTATAAAACGTATTGAAAAGGTCCTCTATGACCTCTCCGATAAAAGGAGACGTTCAGGACAATGGTTGGAATCCGATTAGTCACGTAGACCCTATCCAAAGGCGAAACACCACTCAAAAAGGACCATGCTTGCTGTAGGGTGGCCAACGGCTGGTGTGATTCAATATAACTCTCTGCACCCTGGCCAAACGACCCCAGCAGAGTCCTATTGTGAGGCAGCAGCTGGTACTGGTTAACAGAAACGGTCTCATTCTGCTTCACGAAAACGCACATTTCACAAATCACCGTCCTAAAATTAAACGAGTTGAGTGTCGAAGTTCTGCCTCACCCACCATACTCCCCAGACCTCTCTCCAGCCGACTATCATTTTTTCAAGCACTTGATATAACCTCAGGTAAAATGGTTTTGGTCTATTATATATTGAATATTCCTATACATTATTTTCATAGTTACCAACATTTATTTTTGTTTGTGCATACCCTAACGGGCATAAGCATTCTGCCAATCTAGCTAAGTATGAAAATTAATATATTATGATAATAACTAATCTCTCGGCTTTCATTTTTTCGAAAGTTGGAAAATTCTGCTGGTGGGGTTGGGAAAATTGGGATTCCCTCCCCCCTACTATTTCTTTTCGCTACGGCCCTGTTCACTGATATTTTACAGTTCAAAGTAGGCTCATGAAAACGGACAAAACTTTTCAAACAACTTGATATCAATGTAACAATGATTTCATGATATTCATGATATGATCGAAGTAAATTATTCATGAGTATTTTCATTTTGTGATAATCAAAGTAAATTTCAGGAAAATGAATGAATGAAATCTTCTTCTGAAGAATCGAGAGAAATACATTCAGATAATCAAATTCAACTACAGAAAAACTCTCTAGTTGAGTTACGATTTGGGACTACCAAAAGTTGAAGAAAGATAACTGATAAGAAAAATACACTTCGTGAAGATTTACTACTGGTATAGTATCTTCGGAGAGGCGTATTACTTGAAATATTTCACAGCTTTGTCTACAGGTTTTTGATTTCAAAGTGTTGAGAAGAACAATCATCAAAATTGGAGTTGTTCCTGGAAACAAAAATTTTGATTCAACTCAAAATGAACATTTCCGAATTAGTTTACTGTATATTTTTTTTATTTAAAGAAAGAAACATTCATCTATTTGCTATGATAGTCAGTAAATCCAATTTGACGCCGTTCAGGTTTTTGCGTTCTGCCTCTAACAGAAAAAACCCTATTTTGACAAGAGAAGAATCAATTCAGTCAACACGCAGCTATTCGGCAGGCACATTTCATA